GCACAGATGAATATTCGGATTATTGAAAGATGCATTGATTGAACAAACAAATAAATTGATAGACTGATTAATGCATAGAGTTTTGATGGATGGATGGATGGATTTTTGATGGTTGGTTGGGTGGATGGATGGATGGATGAATGATTGGATATTTGAATTATGGAAAGATGCATTGATTCAATAAATAATTTGATCGAATCAATTCCATCAATAGATGGCTGGATGGACAGTGGAAAAATGGAAGCAAAGGTGAGCATTTGGATGATGGAAATATGCATTGATTAAATAAATAAATTGATAGATGCTGATTAAAAGATGGATTTTTGATGGATGGATGGATGGATGGATATTTAGATTATGGAAAGATTCCTGGATTGTAGTTTTTAAGGTTGGATGGATAGTGGAAAGATGTATGCATGGATGGGCATTTGGATTATGGAAAGATGCATTGATTGAACAGATAATTTGATATACACTGATTAATAGATGGATTTTTTGGATGGAACAATGAATGGATGGATAAAATGATATTTGCATTAAGAAAATATTCATGGATTTAAAAAATAAAGTGACAGACTGATTAATTAATGGATTTTGATGGATGGATTTTTACTGATGAATTGTGGAAGGATGTATGCATGGATGGGCATTTGGATGATGGAAAAACATTGATTGAACAAATAAATTGATAGACACTGATTAATATATGTATGTTTTATGGTTGGATGAATGGATGGATGGACAAATGGATATTTGCATAATGGAAAGATGCATTGATTGAAAAAAATAAACTGATAGACAATGATTAATAAATAGATTTTTGGATGGATGAATGAATGTTTGGAAAATATACATTAATTGAATAAATAAATAAATTTATAGACTGATTGGATGGATGGATGGATGGATGGATGAAATTTGGATTATGGAAAGATGCATTGATTGAACAAATAAATTGATAGATAATAAGATTGATGGATGATTTTTTAATTAATAGAAGGATTTTTGATGGATGGGTGGATGGATATTTGGATTATGGAAAGATGCATTGATTGAATATATTGATAGACTGGTTAATAGTTGAATTTTTGATGGATGAATATATATTTTTATTATGGAAAGATGCATTGATGGATGGAATTTTAAGGATGGATAGTGGAAAGATGGATGCATGGCCATTAAAAAGATGATTAGATGCATTTATTGAATAAATGTGTAGATGCTAATTAAAATATGGATGTTTGATGGATGGATGGATGGATGGATGGATGGATAGTGGATAGTGGAAAGATGGATGCATGGCCATTAAAAAGATGATTTGATGCATTGATTGAATAAATGTGTAGATGCTAATTAAAATATGGATGTTTGATGGATGGATGGATGGATGGATGGATGGATGGATGGATGGATGGATGGATGGATAGTGGAAAGATGGATGTATGGAAGGGTATTCGGATGATAGAAAGATGAATTTATTGAATAAATAATTTAATAGACTGATTAATAGATGCATTTTTGATGGATGGATGGATGTATGGATTGAAGAGCAGATGGATAAATCAATGAACAGATGAACAAATGGTTGATGGAAAGATGCGTTTATAGTGGATTAATGGCTAGATGATGGAAAGATGACTTGATAAACAGATACGTTTTTAGATGAATAAATGAATAGATTAATGAATGGCTATATTGATTGATGGATGCATTGTTAGGTGGATAGTGGACTGATGGATGGATGCGGAGATAGTAAAAAAGTCAAGTGCTAGAATTCTGAGAATCTCAACCTAAGACTGACTACCAATATTGTAAATACAATAGCATGTTGCTGTAAAACACACACTATACAATTAATGACAAAAGTCAAGACGACAAATCTGTGTACAAATACAAACATGTTGCTTTGACTTATTTTAATAAATTAGTAAGGATTCAACAATATATTTAAGATACACTTATTTTAATATTTTATTAACGTGACTTGAGATGACTAGAAAGGTTAATTTAAATCAACTAAAAAGTAAAGTTAGCAAGATTTTCTTTACACTGCATGAAACCTTCTGATTTATTAGAGGTTTTCACTGTGCATAGCAAAGAAACTTGATATTTTTAAACAGAACAAAGCTGTCTTACACTTACCACTATAATATGTAATACAATGCAGTTTATTGAGGTGTTCACACACTTGCAGGAATGTTTCATCAAGGAACATTTACCGAATTCCTTTGCTTATTCTAATTACACACTGTCGAAGAAAAAGCAAGCATAAAATGCCTTTTAATGATGCCCTACTTATTCTTGTTTGGGATTTCATTGCTCTTTTAACCCACAAACCTTTTGGGCCTCGCAAACCAGTCGTAAATCCACTTAACTTTTCAACACAGGCCTCCTCTCTGCAGATTGTAATTGCTCAGTTCCTCAGTTTTGTTCAGATTTATCTGTCAAAAGAGAGAGAGAGAGAGAGAGAGAGAGAGAGATTGAGGAAGATCTGCAAACCTGAGCTCTTCCTGATTCCAGTGACGCTGTTGGTTCGCCAGCTGTGATTTTGACCAAGATCTGTGGCAGGAACATGAGGTTTCTTTCCTCTGTTTGTTTTGATGTCTGGTATGATGCTGACGCAGAGCTGTACGCTGTGTGCACATGTTTGAGATGCTTGTGATTGGACAGTCTCTTCTTACTCTAATTGTTTTGTGGTACAGGCAGGATTTTGATATGGCTCATGTGGACACCGCGATCACTTGATTTGGAAATGCAATTTGTTTTATCTTCTTTCAGATGCAATACAGTGTATCCCGTACAATACAATACAATACAATACAATACAATACAATACAATACAATACAATATAATATAATATAATATAATGTAATATAATACAATACAAGTCCCTTTATTAATCCGGGGTCGCCACAGCGGAATGAACCGCCAACTTATCCAGCAAGTTTTTACGCAGCGGATGCCCTTCCAGCCACAACCCATCTGTGGGTACATCTACACACACATTCACCCACACGCTCATACACTATGGACAATTTTGCCTACCCAATTCACCTGTACCGCTTGTCTTTCGACTGTGGTGGAAACCGCAGCACCCGGAGGAAACCCACGCAAACGCAGGGAGAACATGCAAACTCCACACAAAAACGCAGAGGCTCGAACCAGCGACCTTTTTGCTGTGAGACGACAGCACTACCTACTGCGCCACTGCTTCCCCACAATACAATACAATACAATACAATACAATAAAATACAATACAACATGTATCCTTAAAGGAAAAGTTTACCCAAAAATGAAAGTTCTGTCATCAATTACTCACTTTTTACTAGTTCCAAGCCAGTTTGAGTGTTTGTTTTTTTTATTCTGTTGAGGACAAAAGAAGATATTTTGTAAATGTTAGACACCTGTTATCATTGACTTCCATAGTTTTCTGTTACGAAAGATTTCAATTACACTTCAAAATATCTTCTTGCATGATCACCTCATAGCAAGATGGTAACTGAGCTTTGGCTGGGTCAGTTTGCATTTCTGTGTGGAGTTTGCATGTTCTCCCTGTGATTGCATAGGTTTTGTCTGGGTGCTCCGGTTTTCCCCCACAGTCCAAAGACATGGTATAGGTGAATTGGGTAGGCTAAATTGTCTGTAGTGTATGAGTGTAAATGAGTTTCCCAGGTGATGGGTTGCTGCCGGAAGGGCATCCTGTGTGTGAAACATATGCTGGATAAGTTGGTGGTTCATTCTGCTGTGGCGACTCCAGATTAATAAAGGGACTAAGCTGAAAAGAAAATGAATGAATGATATAAAATCTTTGGTGCTCAACAGAAATAATAAATAAATAAATAAATAAATAAATAAATAAATAAATAAATAAATAAATAAATAAATAAATAAATAAATAAATAAATAAATAAATAAATAAATAAATAAATAAATAAATAAACAAACAAACAAACAAATAAATAAATAAATAAATAAATAAATCAACAAACAAAACTTGTTTGGAACAAGTAAAGGGTGAGTAAATGATGACCAAATTTTTATTTTTGGTGAACACACATCCACAGACGGTATATATATCAAACTTGGTTAGCTCAGTTTTGCTCTATGTCTGTTTGTTTGCAAGGCAAGACACGTCAACCGAATATATGTTTTTAGACCTTTTACTTTTACCTGTATTTATCTTGATATTAACTAGGCTTCTTAGGTTAACTAGGCAGGTTACAGTAATTAGGCTAGTTATTGTATAACGATGGTTTGTTCTGTAGACTATCGAAAAAATATAGCTTAAAGAGGCTAATAACTGACCTTAAAATGTTTATTAAAAAAATAAAAACTACTTTTATTCTAGCCCAAAAATATTATCAGACATGCTGTGAAATATTCTTTGCTCTTTGAAACATCATTTGGGAAATATTTAAAAAAGAAAAAAATCAAAGGGAGGGGGTGGGGGGGTGGGGGGTAATAATTCTGACTTTAACTGTGTGTGTGTGTGTGTGTGTGTGTGTGTGTGTGTGCGTGCGTGCGTGCGTATGTGCCTGCGTGCGTTCGTGCGTATATATAAATATATATATATATATATATATATATATATATATATATATATATATATATATATATATATATATATATATAGATAGATAGATAGATAGATAGATAGATAATGCCTTTATTTATATATGACAAAATAAATAAATATTGTTGTGTAATTGAATAAATAACATTATGGTTTGCTGACATAATTCAGACTGTTAATTAATAGCAATCCATAAATGAACATATATCCATAAAGCGCTTATGTTTGTGACCTCAATACCATGATGATTTCTGAAGGATTTGTCTTTGCAGCAGGAAAATTCCTTCTGTCTAAATGCCCTTTGAATGTTGACTTGGATTAGCTTTGCATGAAAGTTTTAAAAGCTTTGTGTACTTATGTAGTCATGCACAGTTTGCGTGTGTGTGCTCATTTGCTAACCGTCTCCTTTCTCTCTCTCTCTACAGTTGATGTGAGTGTGGCGCTGCCACTGCAAGTGCCACCTTCTGCCATCCCTATGGACCTGCGTGTGGATCACCAATTCGCCCTGGCGCCGACAGACCCGGCCCAGCGTGAGCATCAGCTGCAGCAGGAGCTTCTGGCCCTCAAGCAGAAACAGCAGATCCAGAGGCAGCTCCTGATCGAAGAGTTTCAGCGGCAGCACGAGCAGCTCTCCCGACAGCATGAAGCCCAGCTGCAGGAGCACGTCAAGGTGAGGCTGCTGGGATTTCTGTACGCCAACCTGGATGTTAGCATCCCCCTGGATCCAACCAAATAAGACAATACGATTTTTCCATTGGCCTTTGGTGCTAGCCAGAATGTGTGGATATGGATTTGTTTGTTTAATGGATACAACTTTTGATTCGTATGTAATTGCTGGATGCTCAAAACTAAAGTTAGGTTATAAACAAACTACACTACAGCAACAGTAGCCGTGTTATCATTCAGAGATGCAAATTAAAGCTGTGATAGGTGAATGTCTTTAGAATTTTTTATATGCTCGTTGAACGGCTCCTGATAGCAATAATCAAATTAAGTTGTCTAAATGTGTTTTTTAATATTCTGTGAAAGGCATAGGAACAAGAAAAGTTAGTCCAATCGAAACATTTGGTCTAAACAGTACAATAGGCTGTCCTACCTGCCTGTAATTGCATACGTATGCACAGAAAGGTTTACATTAGGGTTGGGCAAATAAACGATACAATATTAAATCGCGATGAAATTTGTCAATAACAGTTATAAGCTTCCGGACTTTTATACTCTCTTTTGATCTAAGAGCCATTCACACAGCAGAAATGTGCAACAACGGGAATATAAAAGTGTGTTTAGAATAGAGATGGACCGAAATTTTGTCCTTGCACTCACACAGACCACAGGTTGAGCGCCCCCTGCTGGCCTCACTAACACCACTTCCAACAGCAACCTAGTTTTCCCATGTGGTCTCCCATCCAGGTACTGACCAGGCTCAGCCCTGCTTAGCTTCAGTGAGTAACCACTGCAAAGTGATATGTCTGTGGCCAAATCACAAACTTCTTTGGCGTTTGAACTTTTATAAATATAGTAGGAAAAGAAAGAAAAGAAGAAGAAAAATATTCCCCGACTTTTCTCTTATAAACAAAAATAATCCTCTGAGAAGTTTTGACATGCACTGACATTTGTGTTGTTTTCAGTATCTTAAAAACATAATAAGTGCTAAAGTGTGAAAACACTGTAAACAGCACACGCTGGGCTACAATAATACCTATGCAGCATGTTTGTATGTGTTTGTGTTTTTGAGAGAGAAACGTTTATGCGTGGTTAGTGAAAACATTTTGAAGTCACTGAAACAAGGCCGTGAAACACACAGAGAACATTTGTGCACAAGACCTTTGAGAACTGGATCTTTTAGCCTAGTGTTTTTGCTTCAAAATGATGTGAGAATCATCGTGTTTACTTGCTCACAGAAAACAATATAATGAATTTAAATTACTGAATCACTTTCTGAGTGAAAATGGTTTATGCGAGAAGGCGTGAACTATCATTACTAATTCAGTGAGTCACACCTGAGAAGACAAAGACCTGCATAATGAGCTGCGAAATGAGCCATTAGACAGCTATGTGACTAAAGGCTGATTTATACTTCTGCGTCCAGCGCACGTGTGTACTATGGCGCAGCCTACGCGTCGACGCATAGCCCTACGTTGTGGCCGTTGGCGTCGCTGACGTGCAGCTCTTAAAAAATTTAACTACATGTCGCAACGATGCGTAGTGCAAGCTTTATAATTGGTCAGCTTGGTAGCGCTGACGAGTCTGGGCGGGACCGAGAGCTGCGCGAACGGTGCGAGCCCGATGGAGCTATTGTTTACAAGTGTTAAGTCCCGTGAAGGAGATCCGGATGGAAAGTTTTGTTTTGTGTTTACCTCATGGTTAAAGTTGTTGCTAGTCAGCTGGTTCCTGCCTCAAAATGAGCGAGTTTGAGCCACCTCTACATTTAGGAAGTGTTCAGAACAAAACAAAGCTCCAGCGAAGAAACTCGACACAGAGGAACATAAACACCTCATGGCCAACTAGCGTTTCGGAAGTGTTAATGCAGGCCAACAGAGACAGCGCACAGAAGTATAAATGCACAGCTACACGCGTTGCATGCGCCGTGGGTTACGCCGGTCACTTGACACAGAAGTATAAACCAGGCTTAAGAGTTTCAAGAAAGAAAAAATTAAGTTTATATATATATTTTTTTATTTGCAGTTTATTTAAAATATATTTAGCTATCACACAAAATAACTCGAGATACTCTTGTGAGAGTCAGTACACTGTGTAAAACTCTGTAAACTATATAATCGTATACATAGCAAATCTACTTGTAAAGTTACTTATAAATACACTTCATGTATAACTTAAGGCATGCACTTGAATTTACACACGAAACATTGTGTACAGACGACACATTCAGGGCAAAATCAGCAATGGAAATGTGAAGTGTGTAAGATAATAAAGGATGTAAGGTTTGTAAAAGTCCAGTGAGAGCATCACATGGTCTTAGCTGTACAGGTAGGAATCTCAGAGCCTGTGGAGCCATGTCAGCATCAGTCCCTCTTTACAGACACACAAACAAATAAATGAACATGAAAAAGGCATATGTGCATCTTGGACAACATGCACATCCATATCAGCAGACAAAAATGTCAGTGTTGTAATCTTTAACTAAACAGTAAGTCAATTGATCATCTTGTGATGGTTTTGTTAAACACACTTGGAAAGGGAAGAAAATAGCATCAGGACTTTCCATTTCATCTCTCAAATGTCTCATTCTGTGTCTTATAGATTAAGTAGCAGCGCATGTGGTTGGAATGACATGAGGGAGAGAAATACTGAGAAATGTTCACCCGTTTTATTCCTCCCTCCCGCTTCGATTTTCCATTTCTCTGTATATTGAATATTGGTTAGAGAGGCATCTGCGTGTAGCTGGCTTCAGACTGAGCTTCGTTGTGAGTAGGATGACAGCATTGGTGAATGAGGAAGGGCCAGTGTGTGCCTGCTGTAATAGCTGCGGATCAGCGTCTTTGGGAAACACCGGGAGCCTGTGAGCTCTGAAACCTCCGGCTTTGCTGTGTTTCCACAGTGAGCTTTTCAGCCAATGGGAGCGCAGCAGCCCTGAGCGAGCTATAAATAGACTGGCAGGCTGCAGGCCATGTCAGAGCTAATCTCACCGCTAAATGGACAGAGTTTAGTGTTGGGCTTTGATGGATGCTGTGCTTTTGCTGTGACACCTTGCTGATCATAGGGAAAGGAGGGGAGATTGGGTGTTTTTTTTTTTTTTCCTGCAGTTTCTCACCGAGCTGCTGCAAACTGCAGTCATGTTAAATGTGTTTGCTTAAGTCAAAAGATTTTATTTGGAAAGTCATTTTTAGATGCTTTGAAGGATGGATGGATGGATGGATGGATGGATGGATGGATGGATGGATGGATGGATGGATGGATGGATGGATAGATAGATAGATAGATAGATAGATAGATAGATAGATAGATAGATAGATAGATAGATAGATAGATAGATAGATAGATAGATAGATAGATAGATAGATAGATAGATAGATAGATAGATAGATAGATAGATGTGATTATTTATTTGATTGATTTATTTTATGTGTTCAGATGCAAAACTCTCTAAATCCATCAAACCTCTTTTCTTGTATATGAGAATTTTCTATCAGGCTCCTATAATTAGATTTAGAAGTTTCATTTCATATATAATAAAAGATTTATTAGCTAGTAAATAAAATAACTTTCTTTCAAAAATATTTTTATTTTGTGTCAAAACCACTTGTCCTTTTTTGCAAAAACTTCTAAATCTACCTAGTGGAACAAGGCATTGTAATTCGCTAAAATATCACTAAAGATGCAGTTAGATATTATTTTGCCAAATATAAAACACATGACACAAACCACCTAAAATTAAGAATATGTAAATCTGTCAAGTAAGTGGCGGTTCATTCCATTGTGATAAACCAGGGAAAAAGCAGAAGGAAAACGAATGAATGAAATCTGTCAAGTGAGTGCATTAATAAATAACATTAAAACTGACATTAATTAAATCTTAACAATCTGTTGTCATTTCTGATATTTGGGATTTAGATGTAATGTAAGCAGAACAATGTAAACATTGTAAGCTTAGCTTTGTAGATTCAAATGTAAAGCATCGTGAAACATCAAGATCTGTGCATTGTCTAAAAACATATAAAGCTTATCAGATGTACAGGTATTATGAAGCAATACAAATAGTGTATAGTTTTATACATTATATTTATCTTTTAAAAAAAATAGCTTAAATTAGCAAATAAAACACAAGGGGCTCTATTTTGACGGTCAATGCGCAGAGCGCAAAACGCAGGGCGCAAACGCTTTCAGGGCGTGTCAGAACGCATTTTTGCTAATTTAAGGATGGGAAAATGCACTTTGAGCCAAGGCTAATGGGCTAAAAGGGTTGAGTTTATTTTCTTAATGAGTTATAGGTGTGTTTTGAGAATAAACCAATTAGAGTCTCATCTCCTATTCCCTTTAAGACCCTGCTGCGTTGCGCCAAGAGCGCATTCGCTATTTACAGGACGCAAAGTAAGTCTAAGTGGAAAAAATTAGCATTTCACAAGCAAACAGTTCACAGTTTTTTAAAAAGAAAACAGTTAAACAGAGCATCTACTGCATGAGAATGAGAGATAATGGATCTACTTTCACTTTCGCTCTTGGATAGGGAAACCTTTACACAGACATCAATTAGTCTATAAATAATTAATTGCGTTTGTTAAGCGCAAAGGTTTGTTTCAAAACTATTTCTGAATTCAGTTCTAATTTCCAGCAAACGAATAAATGAACAATAATGACCAAGTGTGGTCAAAATACTGAGTTATTTCCAAATACACCTGCCATGCCCCATATGGTCTAAAACCTGACAGGTGGGCAAATCTAAGCTTGTTTTTAATAAAACAAATATAAATATGGATATATTAAATAATACTGCTAATAATAATAACATTATACAAAAGCAAATTGTTATGAATGAACTGAAAAAGCCTCCCGAGATGAAGAAGACATAAAAGCAGTGGTTTTTCATATTTATGTAGGCTAGAAAATAATATGTTTTGTAATATTTTAATCCTTTATATTTATATCCTATATATATCCTTAATATTAATTTTTTTCTTAAGTAAAGATATTTGCCTATTGCTCTCTTGTGCG